AATTGGCCACAGCTGCAGAAAACCATGCTGGGTTCCATTTCTGTCAACCAAGCTTAGAAGCAGCTGAGAACTTGGCACCAACAGCATGAGTCTATGAACCCTTCCTGCCTTGTGTTCATGTGTGGGTTGGTGGTGGTTGTATAATGGTGGAGGGAATATTTTCTTGGCACATTTTTTTCCTCTTTATCCCATTCAGTCAGGTCTGCTGATCTGACTATTGTTGCTGACTATGTGGTTCTCTTTGGCCACAATCTACGATCTGTTGGCTTCTTCAATGCAACAATTCAAAATACAAAACTTACTGCAAACTGGCTCATACTGATCACACTCCTCACATGTTTTGTATCTGAAATGAAAGTTCCATGCAGTTCTTTCTAAATTATAAATGCATCTTGCAGTAGTACCAGTGGTACAAAGTGTAGCTGGAGAAAGGATCTATTCAGTTATGACATGAGGTAATTATTGCAAGCAACTATAAATACATGTATTTTCTTTATACTTGCACATCTTACTTCCACAGTGTTCTTTGTATGTATGCAAGCAAGCAAATGATGAGTAGGATCTCCTGGATGTAAGTATCATGGTAATTGGTTTTTCTCTGGATCTTTTCAGTTACTAACTGCGTGCAAGCAGCTCTGATGCTGTCAGCCAGTTCTTGTACAGCCATTGTCCATCCATCCATTATCTATACACCGCTTAATCCTCACGAGGGTCGCGGGGGGCTGCAACATCAGAGCAAGATTTAAAATGATTTATTCTCCAAATAATATGAGTTAAGTAATAAATTGAAAAAAAGATGATTATTATTTTAGGAAATGTAACATTAATTTAAATATTGTGTAAAACAAAAACAGATACTTCTTCTTAATACAGATTGCATCTTTTATTTCAATTAATTACAGTCCATTTAGGTGCTTTAAAGCTGGTTTACCTTCCTTTGATTCTGCTATCAGTTCATTTTCAGCAGTGATTTGTGCTTCATGTGTATGTGTCAGAATCTCAGCAACACCAAACCTGGCTACTGTCATTGTCTTTCAAGTGTTATTCAAAACTAAATTACAGAAACACTACATTAGTCTTATCTTGCATAATAGAACACAAACATTTAATTTGATAGCCATAAAGCATTTTAACATGAAATCATGTATTATATATCTGAACATCGTCTTAGAGTTGAGATGAAGAAAAATGTTCAACAGTGACCTTGTTTTAAAAACAGAGGATTATTTAGAAAGTATAAAATAATGAGGTTTATACAGATAATTCTGTTTACTTTGGAGGTTATTAGACATTGAATGCTGTAGCTCTGATCTAGGAAATGTAAAAAACATTCATAGCCAGATTGTAGATTTTGTCTCTTTATTTAATCAGGTGTCAGTCATGTAACATGCTGATAATACTACATGCAGAATAAGTGATTCTTTAATTCCTTTAAAAGTGTAAATATTTCCCATCAGCTTCTTCAGTGAACAAGGAGCAAAGTCATTCTACTTTCTTCTCAACTCAGATGACAATATAAGTTTTTCTGGCACGTAAACACTGACCAGGCAAAAAGAAGATCTGCTTTGTCTTGGACTTGAAACACTGATCAACAACATCATAATGCACATTCATGCAAGCATTCAGATCATACAAACAACCTCAGGATCTTTTGNAACGTCACTCACCCATCTGAGAGGTATGTTGGATGCATCTCCATCCACAAGTTCAAGAGGAAATCCATCTAGCAACAGTTCTGCACAGAGTTTGGGCAGGTGCTGTAGTTGTTGACGTCTGGGGTTTGTCTTAGGAAGGGAAAGTGAAGCTTCATAGATCTGACCCATTTCACGGAAGAAGTGTTCAGTCCCCAGTGAGCTGTTGGAAAGCTGTCTGTCAATTTCTTTGATCTCCTCTTTGTTCTCAGAATCCTTGCATTTTTCTTTATACTGCTGCCTGAGTCCAGACAGTTTCAGACGAGACAAGTTATCGAGGTTCATTCTCACCCATTTCAGGAAATAACATCTTTCTATCCCTGGGCTTGACATTGCGTTGATGAAGCATGTCATAGCTGGTGACATTTCATAGGAGTTCTGTTGTTGTCGCAGGTTCTTCCTCTTTACCTGAAGATCACTTTTGTACTTTTCTATGTTTTCAGACCCAACTTTCCGAAGCCGGAATTCTTCCTTCTCTAAGCTTGTTATTTCCTTCCATATTTGGCCTTGCAAGGGAAGCTGGTCTTCTTTGTATCTAAGGATGTCTTGAATTTCTGCAGTGATGGCATCTGCTTTTTGTTTTCCAGCCTGGCACTCTGGAGAGTCTTCATCAACCAAGATTCCCAGTTCATGGGCAATGTCAGCCATTTGCTCTATTGGCATCTTCATCTTCGAGTTCTCAACTACATCAGTGACTGATTTCCTCAAGCTCTTGACAAAGTCTGCATCATTCATGTTCATTGTCTTCAAAATAATGTTGTTCTTAGTCAAGCACAACCTGGTTGCTACTTCTTTTAGAGCATCTAAACTGAAGCTCTTACTCTGATGGTTGCCCACCAAGAAGATCTGTGCCTTGTGGTTCTGGTTGGTAAGTAGACTGCAATCAGAGTCCAAGTTGTCAAAGAACATGAAAACAGCTGCTGATGTCTGACACAAAAAGGAGTATTGTGTTTCAAATGAAGCTATGTCACCGCGAAGGTTAGCTACAGCAACTGGTTGACTGAAAACATCCAAGTTTTTGGTTCCACAGGGAAGGTACCAAGTAATTTCAGTCAGTCCATTGGAGATTCTTCTTGGACTGTCACCACACTCCATATCGCGGTGAACAAAGGTGTCGTGGTACTGCTGAGAATTGCTCAGAAACTTATTGAGGATCTCTGACTTGGACAAGGAGCACTCACCTATTCTCACAAAAGAGATCATTGGAATATCAGAGAGAACGATTCTTTCTTCAGTGAAGCCCTTAGATTCTAAAAGTGACTGAGGTCTGTACTTTTTAACGATGTCTCTCATGGCCCACAGCATGAGTGTGCACTGTTTTGTGTCACAGTTGGGAAGCAGCAGAGGCACCGAAAACTGACACATAGACATTTTTAGTGCCATTTCCTGCTGCACAAAACCATCAGAACACAGAAAGAGAGCAGTGATTATGTCGAGAGGGTTTACCATGTCAGCTAGATTTGGGCTGTCAAAGAGATTATCAAAATCTAGGTCTCTAATCTCTGATGCAGCATCACAGGTTGATTCACGTACAGATGTACATTTCACATTCTTAGCTGTCACATTAACCATCATAAGTTGTTTGAGAAAATACCATGGAAGGTCTGATTTAGTCTTGGCAGGTTCATCAGTAATGGTCTTCTCATCAATCTCAAGTATGTTGCTGAGTGACAGTTTTTCTTTGTAGCGCTGCTCCAGTCCCAGATCCTGCAATAAGCTCTGCAGATGTGTCTCTGTGGGTATAAAGATTTGTGATATTTCAAGCAAGTAGCAACCATTTTGTTTTTTTAAACATGGATACTAAATTAATCTTCTTGGTCACACGAAATATTAAATAATATTATGTTGTGGGTTCTCCATGGCAATGTAAGCTAAACTTTTCATGGTCTGTACGTGATATTATGGTACAGTGAAAGGTTATATGGCTTTTATTTTCATCATTGGCCAGGTTTCTTGGTAATTTGTAAAAGCTGAATATGTGGCAGAAGAGAGGAGTCTGTCTCAGTGTTAGACTCAACGTACAAACTTTGCAAAACCCTAAAGCTCTGCTCCAAATACTTTCTTAGTTATGATTTTTTGAAAACTTCTTTGTATGTGTATTGTAGGATANCTTCTGCCTTCTTCTGGGCCTGGTCTCGCTTATGGAACACATCTTTGAAATCAGAACGAAACCTTTCCTTGTTTTTCATCAAACATCTGTAGGGATCATTTTCTTGAATGAAATTCTTGTGCATTTCCTCAAAGCGTCTGGCTGCAAATCCACAGATGTGCTGTTTTAGAGAAACCTCAAACTCAATGTCTCTCTTCACATTCTGATTGTTTTCCAGTTTCTCATCGATGATGAGTAGGATCTCCTGGATGTAAGTATCATGGTAGTTGGTTTTTCTCTGGATCTTTTCAGTTATAAACACTGAACAAGCAGCTATGATGCTGTCAGCCTTTTCTTGTACATGATCTTTGCCATACCACCACTTATTCACTTCACGTTTAGGTTTTTTGAACCATTGTTCATCTGTATATGTGAAAGGCTCTTGTCCACAATCTCGCAGTCTTTGTTGACTCAGCAATTCACATGCACAACTCCCCTTGTGAGACAGATTTGTTCTCAGGCAGTGACCTACCCTGGTGAAGACATCTGTGGTCTGTTGTTCAGAAAAAGGAAGTTTTTTGAGTGTTTCATTCCACATCTTATCAAATTCTTTGTCCAGTTCTGTCTCTCCCATCTGGACTTTTCTCTTTCGACATTTATCAATTAATCCACACACTGCTTTTTCTATTTCATTTGTGTGGTTCTCTTTGATTTTGTCAAGTTCTCTCATTCCCCGTCTGTCTGCTGCTGCTGTGAGTTGATTAATAACAGAGCTTTCCATTTCTCGTCGAAGGCTCTTTGCACTGTTTGAAAACTCCTCTGTTTGTTTGAAATACTGTGTTAGATTGTTGAGCAGCTTTGTCTCCCATTCAGACAGCTTCATGGCTGCTTCACTTTTCAGTTGAGTGAGAAATGTGTCCATGTCAGATGTCTGAGATTTGGTAGCAACTGTACCAAAACTGGATATTTTTGTTTCTGCATTTGTGACCCAGGTGTACATGTCCTTTCTGAATTCCCACTCCCATTTGTTGAACTCTGTGCAGAGCTTCATATATGCGTCAGCTACGAGGCTGTTTCTGAAGCTGAAGATGAAGTTCTCGTGTTTTACTGCATTCCACAGGCTTTTCAGCCACTCTTTGAAATCCAAGATGTTATTAGCAGATGAGTCACAACTTCCCAGTTGTTGGACAATGTTTTTCTTCAGTTCATACACAGCCTCGCTGTAACCTGCATTGACTGGTGCCATTGGTGGGTTTCCATTCCAGAGTCCAGGAATGTAGCAGTTCCCAGTGTCTGGACTGTACTCCATCACATCAGTGAAGCTCTTGTTCTCCTCTTTCTTTTCCATT